AACCCGTGCTTGTATAAATAAATAAATAATCTTTTAAAAAAAAATTTCTCATCAAGAAAAAATTGTGACAGTGGTGACGCATGTTAGCTAGACTGTGATGATTGGTACCCACAGAGGTCAAATCATTGTGCTTATGCCTAAAACTAATGTAATATGTTGATTATCCTTCAATTTTAAGTAACCCATGCTCCATTTTGTTCTTTACATTTTTAAAATAAAGTTAAAAAAGCATATTCCTCTTTGAGTTCAGTGCCAAAACTTAAAATGTTTGTCTATCCTGAAAAATAAATGTGCACACTAAAATTGACAATAGCAATGACATAGTCTATTAATTTTTCCTTTTGTCATGGTTATTAAGAAATTCAGAGAAGGGACCTCCCTGGTAGTGGAAGGGATTAAGCATGAGCACCACGAAGCAATCTGTAGCCACTGCAGCATGAGTTCGATCCTGGCCAGCGAGGTGACCCATATGGCTCAGCAGACCTCTCCTGTCTCACCCGCTGCTCCCCTCGGCAGTGTATTTCGATCAATCCACTTGTTCTGCTCCCTACTCTGTCTCTGGTGAATCCTCCCACCCTCCCCTGCACCTGTGGCCTACACCCCAACTCGTGTATGCATAAATAAATAAATCTTTAAAAAAAAAAAAGAAATCCAGGGAAAAATAAATAAAGCAACACATACTTAATTTTGGTTTCTAGCACAAATGCAGAATCTACTTCAAATGAAACAGGCTCCATCTTGTCTAAATGCCATGTTGAGATGTGTGGGTGAAAAGTCCCAGCCTGACTTAAGCTCCTGTTTGGGACTGTGAAAGAACATCTACTGACTGATTTTCTTTAACAATAACTATAAGAGAAACAGCAACACCCTCTTTTCCCTCCTTCTCAGTACACTGGGCAAAAAACAGCAAGACCATATGCTGATGGTCATAGAAGAATTCACTCCTCACCCCTCCGTCTAATAGCCTGAGCTCTGCAATCAGATTTCTAGGGTTTGTTTTGGTTTTGTTGTTTCTGTTCCTTTGTCTCCTTATATCCCCTATATAAGTAAAATGATCTGATATTTAGCTTTCTTCTTCTAACTTATTCTCTTAGCACAGTCCCAGTCAGTTCTATCCATGCTGCCACGAATGGCAAGCGTTCATCTTTTTTATAGTGGAGTAGTATGCCACAAAATTGTGGTCACCAATGTCTTTTAAAATGTATTGCTATGAGGTCATCTCTCCTTCCTTTTGTATTTGTATCCTTGCTTTTTTATATTAAATGCAGAACTACATCTTCTTTCTGATGGAATGTCTTTTTATTGGTTTCAATATTCTTATTATGGTAATTTTGACCTTTGAATATAGCACTTAACATCTTCTTTATGGACACATGTGAAAAGGCATTGACTATTTGCTTTGCCTTCAATAAAAAATAAAAACGGTAAGGGGCACAGGACTAATAAAGGAGACTAAGGATGCTTTGCTAGGGACTTAAGACAGGTTTATAAGGATCCATTAAACAAAATCTCTGTGCATAGATTTCTTTAACTGTAAGTGACAGGCTATCCTTTCACCCACCCATCAACTTCTTACCCATAAGGATAACAGAAATTTGGGTCAAATGGCCCGTTGCAATCAAATCACTTGACAGCCTTGATACACCTCTAATCTACCCTAACCTTCATGTCAAAAAGATAGTTATTTTCAACATCTTTTCTTAGTGGATCCATATTAGAGTCCAGGGAACAATACTTCTTTTCCAACATGTCATGTTCTGCTTAATAATTTATTTTAAAATTTTCCCAGAGGTTAATGTCAACCTTAAAAGTCTTTAATGTATGACATCTGACCATTCTCCACTTTTAGAAAGCTAGGATTATATTTGTCTGTCAGATTATCTGAATTAGTTTAGCATTTCTATTTTTATTTGTGCTGTCTTCATTCTGGTTCTTTTCTTCATTACCTTGTATATGATTTGCCACAAACTTTGCATAAACAAGATTATCCATTATGATTAGGTTATAAATATGTCACAAATATTTTATTTACGCTTGCTTTTAATTTTTGCTAGAGGAAGACAACTATCAAGCCACCGGATTAAATTTAAAAAACTGTACAGAAGGTTTATAAGTGCTGGGAGAAAATGAAAAACAATTTGGTATTTTAATAAATTTATTTACAGTCAGGTTACAGTGAAAATAATTAACAGTAAGAACAATTATTATTTTTGTCCCCTGACATATTTTATTACCTCTTAAAATAATCAAAGTATTTGCACATTTTGGATGAATAATAAAACTATTCGACAGTAACAGTAATCTGATTCTTTTTTTTACATTAGAAGTAAGAAAACGCAGCACAAGAAATTTTCCTCTTATGATGAAACAGAGTCAAATTTTACCCTGATGGTAAATTTGTTTGAACTCAGTTACTTAGCAGCCTGGTTCTTTGTTTAGATTCCTGGGTGGTAAATACAGAGCATCCTTGGCTTCTCTTCCAGGCAAAGAGACATTAATTTACAATCTGGAACTGAAATGAATAAAAGAACTTTTCTGTCCCAGGGACTTGCTTCACCATGTCTCTTTAATTAAAGCTTCTTTCCTGTGTAAATTGAAACAACTTTTTTTGAGACTGGCCTTCTTCATATAGTATAATGTTTGAGAAATTTATCCAAGTTGTATGTGTTGATAATTTATTCTTTTTTAAAATCTTGACTAGTAGTATCCCATGGTTTGGTTTGGTGTACCATAGTTTATTTAATCATTTATCTGTTGCAGAACATTTTTCTTGTTTCCGGTTTTAGACTACTACAAATAAAACTTCTATGAACAGTTTGTAAAAAAAAAAAAAAAAAATTGAAATAACTTTTTAGCTTTGTTTTTCTGCTCTTTTTCAAAAAGGTAATTCAATTTTCTGCACTATCCTTCCATACTTTTCCTGTTCCCTAAATACTTTAAATTTGATCTTATCATTTAATTCCTTGTGCAAAATAACTAGCACTGGCTTCCTATTGCTCATATTATCTTATCACTTTGTGGAATACAAGTATATCATGTGGAAAACTTTGAAAGAAATTAACTGTGTTTATTATTGTTTATCATGATTTTACCCATTCTCAATGATGTAATTTTTTTAAAGATTTATTTATTTATTCATACAAGAACTGGGGTACAGGCCAGAGTTGTGGGGGGGATGAGAGCATCACCAGAGACAGAGTAGGGAACAGAATAGGCAGACTATGTGAAATACACTGCTGAGGGGAGCAGTGGGTGAGTCAGGAGAGGTCTGCTGTGCCATGTGGGTTTCTCCCTGGCCGGGGCTCCAACTTATGCTGCAGAGGCTGTGGACAGATTCATAGGTTGTGTCTTAACCACTTGCACCACCAGGGAGGCCCTCAATGCTGTAATATTGACAATAAAACATAGACATGTCTGTACTACAATACCTATACATAAGAATTTTTTATTAATGGGTGAATCTGTAATAAAAACTATCAATATCAAAAAAAGACCCACACAGATGAGGGTATATCAAAGGGACACTGAAGCCAACTGAATGATCTCCTAATGGGCAAAGCTGGAATAATTTGACCAACAAAAATGAGTTAAAGTAGGAACTTGGACAACTGTTAGCAGTGTTCTTTCTTGTCTAGATTGTCCTTTTCCGTGACATCATTAATCTGAATTACATGAGATACAAATACTCTTGAGGGCGTCCCTGGTGGCGCAAGGGGTTAAGCACACACTCAGCCTCTGTAGCATGAGTTCAAACCCTGGTCATCCAGGGAGTTACCCACATGGTGCAGCAGACCTCTCCTGTCTTGCCCGCTGCTACCCTCAGCAGTGTATCTCAGTCGGTCTGCCTGTTGTTTTCCCCACTCTGTATCTGGTGAATCCTCTCACTCCCCACACCTCTGGCTTGTACCCCAGTCCTTGTATACATAAATAAATAAATATTTTTTAAAAATAAAACAAATACACTTGAATGTTACAGCATACAAAAGGAAAGGGAGAGATGAGATACTTAGCAATCACTCTTGCTTAATACTAAAAGAAAGAAGTATGAGGAGCCAAGTTCAGCCCACATCTGGTGAGTCACCTTAACAAAAAACAAGGACTTGGAATTTCATTGTAGTTCAGTGCCTAAGGAAGGTTGTTAATGCCATGGCTGAATGACTTGAATGAAGAATCCATTTCTAGAACACATGTCATCTTCTCCACACCTAGGAAGGAGTAGACTTTACTATTTATCAGTCAGCTCATCAACTGAATTTTTTTTTTAAACTTTAATATACACCAGGACCTCCCCTGGTGGAGGAGCAGTTGAGCGCTGGGCTGTGACACTGCCTGCAGCCTCTGCAGCGCCGGTTTGATCCCCAGCCACTGGCAAGGGTCCCACATGGAGGGGCAGACCTCTCCTACAGTGCCCGCTGCTCCCCTCAGCAGTGTATTTTGGTCCATCTGCCTTTTCTGTTCCCCACTCTGGCTCTGGTGAATTCTCTCACCCTCCTGGGCTTCTGACTGTACTCAGTGCTTGTATAAATAAATAAATAAATATTAAAAAAATAAATAAATAAAAATAAATCTTTAAAAAAGAAAAACAAAACTTTAATATATCCCAAACAAAGGTACGCTTTCTTCAAGTGTTCTTTTTTTTTTAAGATTTATTTATTTAAGCATACAAGGACTGGGGTACAGGCCAGAGGTGCAGGGGGGAGAAGATTCACCAGAGACAGAGTGAGAAGCAGAACCAGGTGGATCTACTGAAATACACTGCTGAGGGGAGCAGTGGGTGAGACAGGAGAGGTCTGCTGCGCCATGTAGGTTAGCTCCCTGGCTGGGTATCAAACTCATGATGCAGTAGTTGCCCATAGCTTCATAATGCTGAGACTTAACCCCTTGCACCACAGGCGAGGCCCCCTGGATGGTTTTTTTAATGGTAAAAAATATATATATTTAACCAGCTGGACTCAGTTTAGAAGAGTCCCATTTTGTTGGCAACATCCAACCCATCATAGTCACGAATCAAACACAAGCTTCTTCTTCATATCAAGTCTGGATGTGGTGTTGACCTTGGCCACATCAATGTCATAGAGCCTGTTTGACCTGGTGCTTGTTACCTTAACATCTATGGAGAACACAATTGTGCTGCTGTCTTCTAACTTCTTCATGGCTGACTCAGTGGTCAGGGGATCTTGATGGTTGTCTGGAGCCGTCCAGAGCACGCGCCATGTTGCTTATGCATGCCATGAGTTAAGCTTCGCTTTACTGTTTTGCTTTTGGAGAACCACAGGTTTTTCCTGTAAATCACATGAGAATGGAAGGTACGGGGGGAGGAGCTACCAGGATATAAGAGGAGAACACAGGAGAGAGAGGGGAGAAGAAAAGAGATTTAAGAGGAGAACCACGAGAGAGGAGAGTGCTGCGAGAGGAGCAGAGAGAAGGCCGGGGAAATAAGAAAGACAGGGAAAAGAAAGACATGGAAAAGTAAGAGAAGGAAAAGGAAAAATAAAGAAGCATGCATTAGCGTCAAGTTGTCTCAAGCCCCTCATTTCATCCTCAGCCCTTCTCTTTTCATGCCTACAAATCCCACAGGTCGGGACAGATGGTGGCAGAGGGGTCAAGCTTGTTTCTCCTGAGGGTGCTCTTCTAGGGATATTTGGGTTGCCTTTGGAGTTGCAATGTCTCAGGCCTTCAGAAAGTAGGTTCTTTGTGTGTGGCTGTGGATACCTTTCAGGGCAGCTTGCTTGGCCTTCAAAGCTTTGGCTATGGCTTTGCGAAAATCAGGGACTTCCTTCTTTACTTTTGGCATCATCTTCATAAAAAGGGCCAAATGAATTTTTCAAAGTTTAGTATGATGTTAGGTGCTGGTTTTTCTTGAATGACCTTTATCATATTGAGGTATTCCCTGTCAATTCCTAGTTTTCTGAGTGTTTGTATCATGGTAGAGTGTTGGATTTTGTCAAGTGTCTGCTGTGCTAATTGAGGTGATTGTGTGATTTATTATTTTGTTCTATTAATGTGGTGTATTACATTGATTGATTTTCTATTTTGCATTCTATTGCATTCATGGGATATATCCAGATTGGGCCTTGTGTATAATCCTTTGTAATATGCTATTGAATTTAATTTGGTTGTATTGTGTTGAGAATTGTTGCATCGACATTCATAACAGTTACTGCTAGTAATTTTCTGTTCTTACAATGGCCTTACCTGGCTTTGGTATTATATAATGTTGATCTCATAGAATGAATTAGAAAATGAGTTTTCTTCTATTCTTTGAAGAGTTTGGAGGAATTGCTATTAATTCTTTTTCAGTGTTGGGTAGAATTTACTACTGAAGCCAACTAGTTCTGGCCTTTTCTTTGGGTTTTTTTTTGTTTGTTTGTTTGTTTTTTTCTTTTCTTTGTTTTTGATTAATGATTCAATCTCTTTACTTGTTATAAATCTGTTGAGATTTTCTATTTTTTCTTGAATCTGTTTATTTAATGTGTATGACTGGGTCCTTTTAATAAGCAGACAGATTACATTAATGTCTTATAGCGCTCCCTCTATTACTATCATTTTTTCAGCTACCTTGCATCCAGATTTAACTCAGTGTTTCTTCAAAGTAAAATCAAATTCCTTATGTTTTTTGTTAACTTGTAATGTTTTCCCTGTGAGTGTGTTTTATCGGTTGAAACCCAATTAATTTATACACAGAATGATAGAAGTCTCTCTCCTTCACTGAATCATCAATTACTCATTTACCTTTCAGATTAATGAGGTTTCAGAAGGAAAATAACAATGGTAATTATTGAAAGAACACCGCCACAACTAATTGGTTGTTAGGTACCAGTATCTTCATGACAACAGGGGACACTCGCTTTTACTACCAGGATCTATTTGATTGTACTGACTGTGGTGGTAGCTGTAAACATGTTTCACAGGGTCTGTTCTAATTAAAAGCTTCATAAAATGCTGCTGAATTCCCTGCTCCAAAACATTTGACTCATTAAGAGAGTCTCACATCAGTTAATGATTCAATTAGCTAAAGTCATTTAAACTAAATCCTTTATCAGCATTATATGTTGGCAAAGGTACAAAATTTTTGCCTTTACATCTCATAAAATCTCATACAGTGGCACAAAGAGAATTTCCTATAAGTGTTAAATAATAAATTTTTAGAGGAACTTGAACTTTGCTTTAAGGGCAGCCAATGGAGGAGATACTGCCCACCAATCACTAGATTGCCTTAATGCTCTCTATTCAATGGCCTAAATGCCTGCTACAAATAGCAAATTGTGAAATAATACCAAGGATACCATTTCTATTTCCAGATCCATTATTTTATATTATTTATTTATTCAATTACTTGTTCTGTTTAGGATGTTCAAGAACAAATTGAGCGATAAGTTGTTCCTCAACTCCAAATAACTAGGGATGCTATTAAAAATCTTTGAGCACTGGTACTGCAATGATGCTTTCAAGCAGAATGGACATCTGTCATAAACAAGCAGTCACTCCTAGACCAGTATGAGTGTGTGTATGTGCTTGTGTGAATGTGACAATGATATGTGTTGCTTATGTAGTGTGAAATAGAAAGGAAGTCCATTAGGCCAAGAAGAGAAAAAGAGATGGAAAAAAGTGAGGGAAATAGTGTCCACCCAAGTTTGGAGCTACACTGGCAACAGGGCACTGCACTATCCACCAATTATGATTAGTGTATTTAAAGCTATATATTTTTTTAATTTTTTAAATTTTAATAAAGTTCAAGTCAGCACACACAGCTCATTTCAGCTCCTTTACTGCCAAACCTGGGGGCAGGGACTGCTTCAGCTTCTCTGCCTTTTCTTTATCTGTGATGACCAGGGTGTACAGGTATCCCCTGCATTGGACTTTAAACTTCACATTATCCTTGTTTTTCTTGATCTTCACAGATTTGGCGTCCTTTCGCTGGGCGTTCAGGACTGTGTGGCCAGCACAGCCACTGGCTAGAAGCTAAATACATTTTTTTTAAAAAAAGCTTTCAATTTTTCAAAGTGCTGTCACTTTAGCTCATTTTATCTTCAATATCAAAAAGAATAATCTTACTTTATAGCTTCCCTAGAGAACTATGAAGATAAAAGGAAGTTGTTTTCTAACTCTCAGGTTGGATACCTTCTTTGTCTACAAATGACTTGGGAGTGAACAAGTTTCCCAGATTCCGGGTAGAGACTCTTGTCCCTGCACAATGTGAATGCAGCCACTTGAGAAGTGAACACGATCCCGCCACACTGAACTTCTCGGGATATGTGCAGATGTGGAGATTTTGCTTCTTCTGCCACCCTAAACCAGCTCTGTTAGATCACTCCTCATTCTGATTGTGCTACTCTCTCTAGACATATGTTCTGTTCCTGACTTGTCTCCAGCTCAGATTTTGATAATCCTCCTGAAGATACAATACTAGTTGGCAGCTATCTCTAGGTCTAGTGGTTCCTGTGTCAGTTCCAGTAGATAGATGAATGGGTCTTCACTCTGTGTGACTGAAGATGAGCATATTGTTCTCATGTGTAGCGTGAATATCTTTATTTTTTGTTTTTGTCAGTTGGGGAAGTTTTGTGAAACCCATATTCATCAGATATTTTCAGCCTTTTTCACTATTTTCTGCTTTTTCACTCAAAAAGCAGAGTCATGTTTATAGTGAAGGTTATGACAACTATTGTCTCCTTCTATTCCCATGTGGGTTGCATTATTATTATTGAGGCAACAATGGTTTATGACACTAAATGTCATTCAGAGGTATAGGGTCACACTCCTTCACATGTATGTGACCACACCACACCCACCACCGACACGCCCATAGTCATGTGCCACAGTCCACTAGCCACCCTCCTCTCTCCATCCTCCCTTGGTAGCCCCAATTCTACAGTCAAACTTATAGGGTTTGCCAAATGCCCCCAAATAGATGACTGGATCAAGAACATGTGGTATATATACACAACGGAATATTACTCAGCAATCAAAAAGATAAACTCAAGCCATTTGCAGCAAAATGAACAGAGCTGGAAGGGATCATGCTCAGGGAAATACACCAGAAAGAAAAAGAAATACCAGATGGTTTCACTTATAGGAGGAATGTAGAGGATCCAAATAATGGATCAGGGAAAAAAAGTTATTATAATAAAGTGAAAATTAAAATCAACAAGCAACTATAAACCAGAGACATTCTGCAGTGGGGGAGAAGGGAGTAGGATCAAAACCCATGGGAAGACTGTAGTGATGGTACACAGGTGAATTGGTAGTAGGAATTTCATGGGACTATAACTGAGATGAGAAAGCATACATTGTAAAAAAAAAAAAATGAAGAATGATGTAAAAAATATGTAAAAAGAAAAAAGTTCTAGGGTTTGTTATTGGTTTTGGATCTGCCTGACTGTTTGTTTCTCACATTCTACATATAAGTGAAACCATTCATTATTTATCTTTCTTTTCCTGATTTTTTTGCTTATCATAATCCCCTCCCATTTTGTAACAAATGGCAAAATTTCACCTTTTTTTTTAAATTTATGTATACAAGATCTGGGATGTAGGCCAGAGGTGCAGGGCCTCTTCTAATCCACAATTAGGATATACTTTTCCAATTCTTTGTGTCATCTTCTGTTTTTTTAACAGTGTCTTATGATTTTTATTGTATAGCTCCTTCACCTCCTTTGTTAAGTATTTAGATTAAGTGTTAGGTGTTTAATTCTTATTAATATAATTATAAGTGGGATCACTTTCTTGATTTCTTTCTCTTCTAGTCCATCGTTTATATATAAGAATGCAACTGATTTTTGTAAATTGATTTTGTTACCTGCCACTTTACTGATTTATTGTTTCAATTAGTATTTTAGTGGCATCTTTGGGTTTTTATGCATATTATCATGTCATCTGCAAATAATGATAGTTTTGTTTCTTCCTTACCAATCTGGATTCCTTTTATATCTTTCTCTTGCCTATTGCTTTAAATAGATTTCCAATACTATGTTGAATAGTATTAGTGGAAGTGGACATCCTTGTGCATTTATGAGGCCTTGGAGAGTTACAACACTTATGCATTCACATGGGGTCTGTTATTTTTTTCCTTTCTTCTTTCAAAGCCTGTCCACCCTACAACATGATTATAAATTTTGTGAGGATGGCAATGTCTGGGAAGTATCAAGGATCCTGCCATGCATGCCAAAGTCACTTTAACCCTCACTCCTTCCAAAGTTACCTTTGCCCTTTTATAACCATGTGTTGACTCCTAAGGTTACTAAAGCTATATGATTTTACATTTGCCAATTCTGAAGGCACTGTTCTCTGCCAATGAAGTGCTTCTAGATGTGTCCCTCTCTGGGTGCTGTAAATATGTCAGGGCACTTGAAGTACTAAAGCTTGGTCATATCCTATAGAGGTTCTGTTATAGAGCAACCCCGATATTAAACGGGTTCCTGGCTGTGGGTCCTCACCCGCGCGCTTTAAAGGGACTTATGAATACTCTACTACAGACACACGCAAAAGGGTTAATAAAAGGTTTATTTACAAGAGAAAAAGAAATAAGGAAAATGTACAACTCAGGGAGAAAATAGGGAAATAAAGTCTTTAATGCGTCCTACCCGATCCGACGACCTGGAAACCCCAAAGTCACTCTCAGAGCTAGACGGACGCCGCGAGCTGGCCGAGGGCCCCAAAATGGAGAGAGCCCCCAAAGCCCACGTGTCTGCCTTTTGTATCCACCTGGCTGCTTAACCCCACCCTCAGGTCCCAGCCACCTTCCCTTTGGTGGTGATGGGATTTGGAGTTCCCAGTGTCTTTGGCTTTGACCTGGGGTGGGGGTGGAGTCCACAAAGCCTGTATGGAATTAGCTTTGGGACTGCCTTTTCCCCCTAACAGTTCTATTAAGCAGAAAGCTTCTGATATTATAGGAAAACCCTTTTCTTCCACTTTGATGTCCATCTCTGTTAAATAACTCTCTGAACTTTAGAAAATGGGAAAGTGTAAGATCATATGAACCAGAAAATATACACTCCCTTCCCCTCCCCCTCCCTATTTTTTCCCTCTTTCTCTCTCTCTCCCTCACATTATCACTCTCTATCTCTCCATTTTTTGTGACTATTTAATCTCTGACCATTTCAAAGATGGGGTAGGACAAATTCACAAGCAGAGAAACCATTGCTATCAGTGGAAGAAATTAGAAGTACTGGATAGAAAAAATACAATGAAGGCTCAGTTGAAAATATCTTACAGAAGTACTGGTATGAAAAATGAAGTTTTTGAGCCTCCCCGGTGGCACAGCGGTTGAGCGCTGGGTTGCGAAGCTGCCCACAGCCTCTGCAGCGCCGGTTCGATCCCCTGCTGCTCCCCGGTCACTGGAGGAGGGTCATGCATGGTGCGCAGACCTTTCCTGCCGCCCGCTGCCCCCCTCTGCTGCACCTCCCCCTGCAGTCACCTTTAGGGTTAACCGGCCCTAGGTCCGGCTGGGCAACCAGCGCCCAGGGGGAGAACAGCAAAACCCTACCTGCTGCACCTCCCCCCGCAGTGATCTTTAGGAATGGCTTTCGCCATGGTCCCTAGGTCTGGCTGGGCAACCAGCCCGCAGGGGGCGGAGAACAGCATAACACCCTGAAGCAGAGGAAGTTCAGCGGAAGTTCCCTGAAAAGGCAGAAGCTTATCAAAACATAACGACCACCAAGAACCACTACAAGAATGCTAAAAATCTTATCCCGTCTTTCTAGAACTACAAACTTTAATCCCTTATCTGTCTTTCTAAACTTCCTTCTTTCTTCTATAATGGTCATCGTTTGTTATGTAGATCACCTCCCTGATGGTGATAGACTGAGCCCATGAGCAAGCTAATTTCTTTGATATTCATTCCTGTGCTTTTGGAAAACATATATATACTGGTCACAAACTCAAAGAAAATTACACTCAGATTTTCACTCTTGAAGTGTGTCTGTTTGTCATTTCTTTCGCCGACGCCCTGACCACCCTGCACGCTTCTCTCAACCCTGAGGTGGCCTCATCGTCTACTGCTGTGCTGGTCCTTGGCACCCCTCAGCAGTGTACTTGGTCTTTCTGCCTGCTCTGCTTCCCGCTCTGGCTCTGGTGAATTCTCTCACCCTCCTGTGCTTCTGACTGTACCCAGTGCTTGTATAAATAAATAAATCTTAAAAAAAAATGAAGTTTTTATTTTTCATACATCTCTCCCTAGACCTCAGAGATGAAACCATAGAGATGGGTCAAAGGGATAGCTTTGGTAGAAGAATGTATTGCCCAGGCTTCCCCCTCCTAAGATCCAGGCTCTAATAGTGGACATGACAGTGTGCCAACTTGCTTTTCCTGGATGATTTCTTTCTCAGAGAATCTTTCATATCATAAACTCATGGCAGGCCATCCCAACATGAAACCTACAAGCATGCTTAGTGTGACTGTTCCAAAAATGAGTAAGCCTTGGCAATCTGTAAGATATGTAATGACTTATTTTTTCCCCATAATTATAAAAGGGAAGTATAATTTCTGCTTCTATCAATGTCTAAGTTTCTTGCAATGATTAATCACTTGGAGCTTTTGCAAAATATTTTAAGGGCCTTTCAAAATGACAATGATGTAAGTAGAGAGCATCTAATTAATCTATCATACCATTTTAGTTTGGCTAAAGAAATTTATGAATGCCTCGATTTTTTGTGTAATTCTTTATTTTACTAAAATGCCATGGAAATAAACTTTCACTCTTTAAATCAAGTGGAGAGCTCTATTTCTGGAATCATTACAGGGTAACCCAAAGGGGAAATGGAGTGACCTGGCTGCATGCTTAAGAATTCAGGAAAAGATTGTAGACCAGGCACACAGAGAAAATGAGAGGAAGAAGACACACAGAGATTAAATGGTCAATACATCCTACTGGTAAAGCCTTCTGAGCTAAGATGCCAGCTACAGGCTGGAAGCAGGAAAAATCAAGAGAGTGCAAGTCCACATGTGGTCAGTTTTATACCCAGCATGGTTGCTTACCTCCACCCTTACTTAGTTCTCAGCAACGCTCCCTTCAGGATGTCAAGAGTCAGGTATGATGGAAGTTGTGATTCTCAGTAAACTGTGCTCTCTTTGGCATGGAGGTAGCGGGGGGAGTTCATAAAATATCAGTGGGTGGAGTTGATTCAGGATAAACTATTCCTCCAACAGAATCACTTACATACAAGCCTCCCCAATAGAAGGAACATGAAATAGGGGACATTGGGAGAATCTTATTATACTAAGCCCTAAACCTTTTTTCCAAGTTAAAAAATTTTATCCATAGCTTTTCATTTTTTCTAACTCCTACTTACCAATTTTCTTAAACAAAAAGAAAAATTCTCTGAACATGAGATGTAATCGTGGTATGTTTTGATATAACTTAGTAAAAAAAAGTGTTGGAAGTGAATTTTTAATGCCTTACTTTGGTTCCTTTTGTTCATGGCTATAAATCAAACTTAGCAGCTGTTGACTGTCAACTGTCTACCTCTGCTTCAACTTGTCATTAATGTCCTGATTATACAACCTGGTGTCTGCCCAGCACCTCCATTTAGCATCATAATAGATCCATCAAGCATAATTCTTTTCTATTTAATTGAAGTATATTGTATTATAACAACGCTGTTAATGTCTGCATGAAACTGTCTCTCCTTGCATTAGGAATTCAATAGATACATATCGAATGAATAAATGAATAGCTAGGCATTATTTATTTATGCATACAAGAGTAGACCAGAGGTGTGGGGTACTGAGAGGATTCACCAGAGACAGGGTGGGGAGCAGAGCAGGCAGAAGGACCCAAGTACACTGCTGAGGGGAGCGGCGGGTGAAACAGGAGAGGTCTGTGTTCTGCCCAGCGTCGACTAGTGCAGCCCCCAAGGACACACAGACAACTGCTGTAAGAACACAAAGGAGTTTATTATGGGCTCGAGACCGGGCCCTCGACACGCACCAATGTAACGGTGGAGGTCGGGAGCCCTGAACAAAGGAGACAGGGATCTTATATAGGGATACAAGTAGATTTCTAAAAATTAAATCATGTTGGCAGTCATTCATCAGTTACATAGGTGCATCATTCATTGATTACACAGGTGCATTTCTTAATAATGGTGGGTACACAGTTATTTTATGGCTAGTTTGACCCCATCAGTGGCCTGCATTGCTCAGTTCTATTTTATGGCCAATTAGACCCATTACTCGGCTCCACTGTGGCTGGCCATCAGAGATAAGACCACAGTGGGGTGGGGGTCATAAACCCTCTTTGGAATGCAGGCTAATTAGTCTTGAGTAAGCAAAACTTGAAATACTAAGATGGCGGTTATACACAAGATGGAGGAATAGTGGCTAAGTCTCACAGTCTGCTGTGCCATATGGGTTTGCTCCCTGGTCAAGGATCGAACTCATGTTGCAGTGGATACAGATAGCTTCATAGTGCTGAGACTTAACCCCTTGTGCCACCAGGAAGGCCCTAGACATGTGAGTTTTAGAGTTATCAAGTCCAAGATGGGATCTGGCTCCTTTGTTTACTACATGAGTTCTGGAATTTCAATATCCTTTCTGATACAGCTAGATATCAGAGAAATTAGTTAAATCCTCTGAGCCACAGTTGTCTTATCTATAAAATAGGGATAACTGTGATACTCCTGTCAGAGAACCACTGAGGGGATAGTGGATTACTACAGAGAACGTGCCTAGAACAGAGCTTGAGATGGTTGAAAGGATTAGTAATTATTAATACACAAACCCTCTCCAGAACAACTTTAAAAATTTTAAAAATCTGTTATAAAATAATATCACTTTAGTCTTTATAATTGTTCTTAAACTTTATGATGGCCCATGGACTTACAAGTGAAAATTCTGGGGAAAAATCCAAATATTTACACATCATCAACTTGGGCTCTTCTTGTTCACACAACTTTTGAACCATATTTCTCACAACCTACTGGCAAGAAGGGAAGGAAGGAGCTATAATTAACCTGCTTTTTACTGATGGCAAATCTCATCTCCAAGAGCCGATTAATTCTAGGTCAGTAACTGAATTGGGAGTTTTGTGTTAGTCTGACAGCCTATCTTAAGCTCTTCTTGAGAACACACAACACATTTGACTTGTTCACTTCACACAGTGAGTTTGTAATCTGAAAACATCACATATGAACCTGACTTCATTCACCTACTACCTACAATCAAACTCTCAGCTCAGTTCTTGTGTCCTAAGTTGAGGACTTTGAAGTCTGCCCTCTGTGTGAGTACTTAGGGATCTCAGAAACTTAATCAAATTGTTTATATTGGATCCTTGCTTTTTGCTCTTGCTTTCCAAGGATTTCTCCTCACTTTCCAAGAGATGCTTACTCTTATCCCTGTCTTCTGGTTGTTTTCAAGCCAGAAAAAACTTTTTTTTTTTTTTTCCCCTATCTGGGTTACAGTTGTAAAAAGTCGGAAACTAACTCCATTCCATTTTCTTCTTCCAAGTGTTGACTTCCCTCCGGAATGTGCCTGCTGTTTTTTTTTCTCCCCAGACCAATAAGGTAGTTGTCATCACATTGTGGCCAATGCTTACATTGTCATCTCTGGGCATAGGAATTGACTCAGCCATACCATCAGTGAAAATGAATATTTTTTTTTGTTTTTTTTTTAAGATTTATTTATTGGGCCTCCCTGGTGGTGCAGGCAGCTGAGCGCAGTGCTGCAAAGCTGTCTGCAGCCTCTGCAGTGCCGGTTCGATCCCCGCCGGCCTCAGAGCAACCCACATGGCAGCAGACCTCTCCTGTCGCACCTGCTGCTCCCCTCAGCAGAGTATTTCGTCAGTCTGCCTGTTGTGTTCCCCACTCTGTCTCTGGTGAATCCTCTCACCCTCCTGTGCATCTGGCCTGTACCCCGGTTCTTGTATAAATAAAAATAACTCTAAAAAAATAAAAAAAAAGATTTATTTATTTATGCATACAAGAACTGGGGTACAGGCCAGAGATGCGGGTGATGAGAGGATTCACCAGAGACAGAATGGGGAACAGAACAGGCAGACTGACTGAAACATGCTGCTGAGGGGAGCAGCAGGCAAGTCAGGAGAGGTCTGCTACACCATGTGGGTTGCTCCCTGGCCAAAGGGGATCAAATTCATGCTGCAGAGGCTGCAGGTGCTTCATAGGTTGCGTCTTAACCCCTTGTGCACCCAGGGAGGCCCAGAAATGAATAGTTTTAATCCTATATTATCACTTACTACCTGTGTGAATTTTGGCAAATTACTTAAAATTAATCTGCCTCTTAGTTTCTTTTTCTGTTAAATGGGAAATATAATATGACCTATACTCTTGTTTAGATTTGTTAAAAGGACTTCAAAGGGTTATCTGACATAATGCTTCTAAAATGTTTAGGGAAATTACTGTTATCATTGTAAGTCTGAGTGTTATTTTGCAACTGTTTTGAGATTACTACCAATATGTTTAGCCATTTCCTCAATGAATAATTATTATGATGCATTTTGAAATTTCAGCAATTTATCATCTGGGATAGCACTAGAGATATTCACTGATAAATTTTCGTAAATGTATTAAGTCCCCAAATCTCAAATCACCATTCTCATTTCAGGTAATGTTCCCCTAGTTACTCAAATATTATATCACATTGTATCTTATTTCCAGTGGCCTATATATAATAACCACTCCATAAACAGAATTGAATTTATAGTTTGTTTCAAGTCTCTCTCAAGCATTTATCACAATTTACTATTATGAAGAGAAAAATGTTAGGGTTGACTTTTTCACATTTTACAGTCATATACCAGACTATTTTGTGATTGCCTATTCTTTTCAGAAGCCAAAATTACAAAAATGTGCTGCCTAAAAAACCTTATATTTTAGTTGGTGTTTAAAACATTTATTTTATAAATTTATCTTAGATCAGAAAAATTAATGCATATAATAATGTGTGAATATGATTATATAGCAGTTCATTAGTAGTCCTTAGAGCATTTAGCAAAACCTTTAAAACCCGAAAACTTAATCATGTATTCCCCAAGGCATGAAAAAGAGAAGAATCTTTTGTTTCAGTTATGACTTAGAGTCAAGACATTTTAAAAAAAAGACACCTTAGAACAAGGGCTGAAATAAGTGGGGTTTATATTTTTCATGCAATGAAAATCCAGATGTAGGGAGCATGGACTGGTACAGTCTCCCAAGGGGGTCAAAAGAAACCCAGGTTCCTTGGATCAATCTGATCCCCCAATGTGAACATGTGGTTTGTTCTGCTGGTCATAAGATGGTGGCTCTGAAAATTGTGTCTGCATCCCAAGATGATAAAGAAGGGTAGTCCGGGGCCTCCCCTATTGGTGCAAGTGGTTGAGTGCAGCACTGTGAAGCTGTCCGCAGCCTCTGCAGTGCCACTTCAATCCCTGCTGGCCAGCGAGGGTCCCACATGGCACAGCAGACCTCTCCTGTCTTGCCTGCTGCTCCCCTCAGCAGTGTATTTCAGTCAGTCTGCCTGTTCTGTTCTCCACTCTTTCTCTCTCCCCACTGAATCCTCTCACCCTCCTGTGCATCTGGCCTGTACCCCAGTTCTTGTATGCATGAATAAACAAATCTTAAAAAAATAAAATAAAATAAAAACCTTTCCCATTCTATAGCCCTTTAGAGCTCCTTTCTTCTTACTAGATGGAAGACTGTCCATTTAATAAATCAGTTATTAAAGTCAATTAGATCTTTAAATGTACCCAGTTGGATTATTGTTATTGAAACATTCTAAAAGTCCTCTCCCTGAAAAAGAATGTCAGGTGAAGATTTAATTCCAGTCTTCTTTTACCACCCCTACTTTTAAAACTGCCCACTTTCCACTTTGCAAAGAGCCACATACTTGTAATCAATTCAGAGTTTTACTAGGGTGTGTTGCCCAGAGGATATAAAAATTTCCAGGGTAGAAGCAAAGGGGCAAGTTGAATTTGAGTTTTCACAAAGTTTTGTAATCTTCTTTAATGAAAGCAGAACAGCGCTAGTAGGACTTCTAGTCTTTCCATACATGATGCATATTTCTTTTAATGGCAAAATGAGGTATTGGATGAGGTGTTTGAGTCTCTTCTGACATTAATGTTTTGGACACAGTTATGTTATGGAGTGGAGCAATAGAATCTTGACTACTTTTATTTGCATGCTGTTATTCATTTTTAGTTTTTATTGAAGAATTTATTATCAAGGGAGAGTCTTAGAGAGTGAAGCAAAGAGAATATCTGTAAGAAATATTGAAGGCAAGAATGTTTAAATCTCTCACAACAATGAAGATATATATCTTTATCTCTTTCAGATTTAGAATTCAGAAGTAAAGTGGTCAACATAGACATGCAAATGATAATGTTTATTTGAACTGAAAAATGAAGAAAAATTTTTTCTCCTAAATATTATCCTGGCTTTGCTGATTGGTTTTCTAGTAGAAATAGGATATGGCAATTAGGTTATATAATGAATATTTTCCATAACTTCATTAGGTAAATCTGAACCTCCAGTGTTTTGAAGAAAATATATCAGAAACATCAATAAGAGCATTTTATTTTTAAAAATTACAATGATGTTTTGAAATGAACAAAACTTCAATTTTCCAAATCTTCCTGTATATATTAGGTTAAAATAAGTGTTTCTATGTGAAAGAACAAGTCTAATTAGTATTTACTTGAAAAGTCAAGGCCTTTTGGTATAATTACAGAGACTAAGAATGAAATGCAAATCAATTGATTTCTAAAAATTTATTTCCAAGAAAATTAAAGATGCGGTTAATCATTTGTCAACTAGTCATTAAAAGAATAAAAAGATCAACCATTTTGTTAAGTTTTGGTATTCAAATTAGAAAATTAATGTTGATATAGTCACATAACAAAACCCCTTATTTGTATGTGTGTTTCCTAGTGTTTGCATGGAAATGGGGGGGAAATCTGGTGGAGAACACTGTCTTACAGTAGATATATATCATACTCATCCACGGAAATGTAGGCTAATCTAAGAAAGTCCCACCCAATTCATTAAAAATCTAATAAAAATTTATACTTTTGTAACAGGGTGGTCCCCAGAAAAGGGGGAGTTTCCCCAGGTTCCCTGCCCTACCCAAATGGAGGGTGGAGCTGAGCAAGGAGAAAAGAAGCTGCAGAGGAGACTAAGGAAGGAAGGAGCAGGATGCAGAGCCAGAAGGAGACCTGGAGGAGGCACATAGAGCCTAGAGACACGTGAAGAAACTGCATTTGTCTTTTGGTCGTGGACTGGGTGACTCAGATGTGGGTGAGAGACCTGTGGGGAGGTGACAACGGCAGTTTTTGCCTTGATTTTGATTTTGCTCTTTTCCTTCCGGGCTTGTCTGGTTGTTTCTGACCCTTTTCCATGGGTCCCCACTGGAAGTTGCTTTAGACCTGTGACAGGCTTTGAGGCTGCCTTTGAGGCTGCCTGTTTGGCTGGATTTTACCCACGAGGGGACGGGAAACTTTGGGTGCTTGATTTAGAAACTAGATTCTTTGCCTTTCTGTATTGTTTCCTAATTGTATTAAAGTTCCTTCCCATTAAAGTCTCATATGTTTTGTGTTGATGCAGTGGATGACAGAACCCATTTAAAGCGGACAGGTTTTGGGGGGTATGGGGGTGCACCTCTCCCTGCCCTGTAACACTTTCTATGTAGCAGTTACCAAAATGTATAATTGTTTCATTTTTTACTGATTTTATCCTATTAATACTTATAAATATAATTGAATCCAGAATAAATTATATTTAACAGGCTGTGCAATCACCAGTTTTTAAAAAATATACAAATCTGTATGTATGTTGGAGGATATAAAATTGCTCTAATATTTAAATTTAATGTATATGTGGTAATTATATATAACTGGGTATAATTAAAATAATTAATTTTTCAATTTATAGAAATCAAACACTATAAATATAATAAATATATCATGGCTTTTAGAAGATTTTTAAAATAATTTTAAACTCTAAGCTAATGTACATTATAAGTATTTAAACTTAAAATGACAATTTTTTATATCAACTTACTATTTTTCAAAATTCTATTAGGCAAGTATATTGACAAATGTTTTAAGACTATAGATCGGGACAATTACATAAGACACCTTTCCCTCTCAGATCTTTTGTGACAAAGCTGTCATCCTATGACTAGATTTCCAAAAGCATTTCACAAATTAAATTGTGAAACTCATAGAAGAAGCTCCTGAAATTTAGGGCTAAGGCCACCAGATGGAGCGATGTGAGTAACTAGTCCAATCATTAACACTCTAATGTCTGTTATGCATTAACACTTCAATGCATCTATTATGCTCCACATGAGCACCCATGGAACCTCAACATAAATAAGAGATGGTGATGTGGTTTTTGAAGTTAGTGCGGGGTTCAGAGCTTCCCTTTCAGAGGCATGCGGCGGATTTCTCCACGAGACAGAGACGGTAGTTGTATTTAAAGAGCAGTTTTATTAGGGAAAGGGACAGAAGAATAAAGGACACTTGCACAGACTCAAGCTGGCAGAAAGGAAGAGCTGCCTCGAAGGAATAGGTTTGCTAAGAGAGGCCTGCGTGGTTGCAGGCGGGCAGCCTTGAGGAGAGCTGCCTCTGCTGAAGGAGGT